TGAAAAGCGAGATCACCAAGCGGCAAGAAAATCGGTCTATTTCATTGAACCCTTCTATAATAATTATTCAGAGTGGAACCAATTTCACATCAAAAGGCTTGGCATTTCACATCATCTTCAATTCGTGTCCCAATAGTGGTACTACCGACACAAATGATTGACCGGACTACTTTGTATTCTCTTATTCAGGTCGATGGCAATCCACCACGAATAACACCAGTCACAGTTTAGTCCATTGTTCAGAACCCCACCTATTGCGGAACATCCTGGGTGGATAACGTGGAACAGCTGTTTGTAGATTTAATCTTACAAGATGTATGTGTGGGTGAGTGAGGGGAGACGGTGAGGAAATCAATTTGACAAAGATGACCTATCTTGTTCAGCCCCCTCCCCTCATCGCAACACTCCGCGAGTTGGTATGAGAACAGCAATAGTCAAATATGGACAGAAAGTGAAAACATAGTACCTCTGTGTCCACTAAGTAGGAGTTGAGAAATTGCAACAGACCATAGAAGATATTCACGGATCTAAAGGTTAGGAAAACCGCATGGAGTGACTGAATGAGTTAATCAATACCGGTATGGAAGCAAGCATGCAAACAGGTATGATTTGAGCTCAGATTGAAATATCTATTTACTGGCAGGGACCGATCTAGAGACGGTAGAGCAGGGAGACGAGAACAGCAGACAGCAAACAAATCCTGAGTATCTGGCGCGATCAGTCCCGAAATGAATTTGGCGGAACTGTGGAAACCGACTCTGAAAAGGCAATCCACATTTTTGGGTGTCCATTCGAAAATATATGCCCCAGCGTTTATGAGAGATAAAGCTATGGGCAATATAATCTTAGAGGATTCTTCAAAAAAAGAAATGATAGGCTGACCTAGTTTTAAAAAAACCGACATCAAACACGATAGAAGGTGATACAACTATTTTCTTCACCAATCAAACAGATTGGAATAACTTGAAATATATTGTTTAGGTCGAAACAACGGAATAACGTAATTCTAAAGAAACGGTCCCCAATCACTGCGAACAATAGAAAAGCCGGTTTGGTGAACAATTCAAACACACACACACACACGGAGCGACTGTAAGGCATAACAACTCCAGTGAATTGTCAGTGTGAGTTAAAATAAGTTCAGCGGAGCAAGAAGGGTCAAATTTGGAAAGCACCTCATCATTCAAGAAGGGATCCAACTATCTTTGGAGAGAATCACTGACTAAAAAGAGAAGCGATTTGTTATGCAGTAGTCAAGGTGCAACATTGAATCGACGATCTTGCTGGTATATGTCATAAAATGTACTGTCGTAAGATGGTAATCTTCCGGAGTACCAAAAAAGTAGACAAAGGGTCGTATACACGTAACAAAGCGATATGAGTAGAATGAAATAACTGCATGATACAAAAAAAAGAACTGCGAAAACGATTTCCGCTTAAATGTTCCACACAGACTGTCCCTCTCTCTCACACACAAACATGATCTGAACACTGTTATGTGATACAATTGGCCATTTACCTTGGGAGATCCGCAAGCGAACACATGGGCATCCAAACAGGCACTAATCGCCTGATTCAGATGAACCGATGGCAAGCAGACGGCGGGCGAATTTCCCGCAGCCGCCGCCGGTGCGGCCGACTGGGGTGGGATCGGATCGGGTACGACACTGTTCTTTGACTGAGGGGATAGAAGTGATGGTGCTGGAATCGGACGAGGACGAAATCCCCGCAAAAGATCCACATCGGATGGGTCATCTGTCCGCGACTCGGTCACACCTTTTGTAAACGCGGTTATGGTGGGTGCTGTGGTTGTGACTGTTGTATTGCTCGGGCATGAGTCTGGTATCGCAGGCAGTTCGTACATACACACTTCGTAATCTGCGGTATAGAGGCAAGCCATTTGCGGTTCATGATCTCCGCATGTGGATGGCCTGGACACAATCACTGTGGGAGGTTTGTGATCGGGTGAATCAACCAAATTAACGGTCAGTTTATCTGCACCATTGGTCTGGGTCGCAGAAGGATCGGTGTGGAAACCGTTCGGTTCGGGTGGATTCGACTGAGAGTTTTTCGTGCCCATACGACGTGTCAACAAAGCGGAGTGCTCGTTTGAAAGCGGAATGGACGAGAAATCAATACAGTTGTCACTACCGAATGAGGTGATCAAATGAGCCAAATCCAGGGCAAGTTGATTGGAAGAACTGAATCAGAAAAGAACAATTAAAGCTATTTTAGGACTAGGACAACTCAGTGAAACGAATAAAACAATGTATAAAAGTGTACAGCATGATCGAATTTGCATTGTCACTTACTATGGGCTCTATGCACGTAAGGAGTGGAAAAAAAAGTATTTCTAATTAAATGTAAAGTACCCACTTTCTATAACCGACTATATTCAAGCACTCGTCGTAGGAAAGCTGTTGTTGGGCGACCGAAGATCTGAAGAAACGAAAATATGGCCCAATTGGGTTGTCTTCTTAGAGGAACGAATAGGCTTGGCCGTAGACAGTATTACCACTCACTCGTTCGAAACGGAATATCGTGTCCGAATAAGTGAATCGTTTAAACATAATTTTCCGAGTGCGATGAAAGCAGGCCAAGTATCACCTACTGTCAACTATCGTACGGATCACGACTGGGTTGAACAACCCACCCAGCCCTCTTCGTGTGTTCAAAGCTTCATGGATCATTCACGTCCCTGCCAATTGTGTTAGTGGTCAAAGGGAAAGATCTCAATGAGGCCACACAGCTTAGCTGGTAGAACGAGCGCTGTACAAAAGCGTAGGTGGCATCTATGCGTGGGTTCGAATCCCACCGAGGCTACTGAACTTTTCGCAATCTCGATCCAAAACGAAAAATAGCCAAACTCTGCTGTCTCACTTTGTAGGTAACATTTGCTAGCTATTCAGTTTCAGTTTTAGTTTGTACAACCATTAACCATGCACTTTCGAGCGTTGATTTAGGTGGTTGTCTGCTGGTTGCCATGACGTGGTGGAAGAAAGATTGGAAAGTTAAAAGTAGTGCCGAAGATAAAAAATGAATAATTCCGATACATCAATGCTACAACGAAATGGATAAGATGCATCAGCGTCGCTGTTTAGGACACTCCGTGTCTCGCAACGTTAATTACAATGGATCCCCAGGAATCCAAAAGAAAAATCCCTTTGTCAATGTGGGCTACCGCGACGTATGCTGTGCCCTAAAGCCTCAGACGCTAATTTGGAAATACCCAGTTCTGTAAAATACCCTACATAGGCCGCATGGTCAGTCCATTGGTCGAACGGACTTGCGAACAGAACATTGTGTGACTGAACTCCGGAACCAGTAAATAACTTACAAGATGCTTGCTGTCACATCTAGCCAGAATAAATCACACTGTGAATGTGACCAGGGGGATTTCGCCACGTACTTCGAGTTTATGGTCGAAAATCAAGACAGGTACATTTTCATGTTGACAACGGTGGAGGCCCATGAGCTTCCATAACCACACACAGACACACCTCATCCCTACATCTCGATGATCGGATGAGTGGACAAACAACTGTGATCGATCAACGTGAGTCGTAGAGCAAGCAATTTTCATTGCTTAAAAAGTCTGGTATCGCGGTTTGTTCGGCACACGGTCTGAAACCAGACCGGTGTGTGAAAAATGATGATCAAAAACACCATATCGTTGACGTGAGCGACGGGGGAGGGGGAAACCGACATACAGGCCTGTTTCTAGAACAGGAACACACAAGAACACACATACACAGTGAACTGATGATTATTCGTGACGTAAGTCGTTCCCCCTTGGTCGACACGCTATTCACATGCTTGCAGATCCAGGTCCCGCTATCTGTTTATCAATGCCTTGCTATTTGCTGTCCAGACATATCAGCCAAGTTGTGACATACGAAATACACGGCATACCAACGGTTATGGGTTTTTTGGAACTCAGATCGTAAAATTTTCCTCGACTGGGGCATGCAAGGGTTAGAATTGGCGTAACTGAGACAGGGGAAAAAAAACGGTTTTTTTCTGCTGAAGCATCTTATTCCATCGGGGACGGTGCACACACGAAATACGAGTAGGTAAACTATTAAGGGCGGAGGTGAGGTGGGGTAGAGAGGAAGGAATGTACGGTGGTTTACTCTCCGTTATCAAGTTGGCAAAATAATCTGTGATCAAAGCTAGAACAAATTGACGTTTTCGTTTGGCAAATTACAAGTCCTAATTGAGCTCATGAACGGATGACGGTTTCTCCAGTGAGGTGATAGCAACACGGGATACAGTTTGAAAGTGAGTTTTGTAGATAACAATATGTTTTTCTCCAATGTGCAAATCAATAGAATGGTTTTGATTATCCAAGTAGTGTAGCGGACGAGAAGGAAAGTAATTCTTTCTGAAGTGGTGCAAAACGCATACGGAAACCCCACGAAAGACATTCCTTTTCACCCAGATTTTTAACGACTGCGTTGAAGATGCAGGTCACGCGGATGAGTGCGAACAGGAAAACTGTTGATATAATCAAAAAAAGGATATCAAGATTTGGTTGTTAGGTTGATTTGATGTTTTTTCTTCAAAGCACTGAAACCATGAAAGGATGAGGAATCTCGATGAAATACAAAACTACACATTTGAACCAAATGAAGAACTGCTATCATCGATATGAGTGACTCCTTTCTATCCGGGAAATAAATATTCTTACACCGATTGATGTCGTTTTGGGGCAACGGTGGGCACATAATTAAATCAAGCATCAATGTGAGAAATCGCTGGTGTTTCGGAGATTTGTGAAAGTAGTGGTGTCTGACGTGACTGGGGAAAAAACCAATTTATCACTTGATACAAGCACACATGGTAAGCCCCCAAAGAATCTCAAACGGATCAAATCGAGACAACATTGCACAAGTGAATAGTGAACATTGGCTTCCATCGAATCGAATGGACGATGGAATAGGACGTCCACAATTCCTCAGTGCATGACAGGATCCGAACCCAAGCTTAGAACGTCAGTTGTGAAGCGATGTTATGCGACAACTTCATCCAAGCTCGATCGTCATCTTTCTTCTGGTATCTTAGGTTCGGATACGATTTTAATATTCGAGTTTTCCTATTGAACCACGTATACAATGGAACAAAAAATGTTCCCGAGCTGCATAGAGGAAGGAGATAATCACGCAGCTCACTTAGCCCATGGACAAGCAAACAAATTGAAGTGAACGATGGCCCCTATATGTAGCTAGCGAAGACACCTCACAATACGAATAAAGTGCAAATTGAGCTTCGAAAAGACACCCCATGAAGACTGTCGATGCTAACCGGGATTTCCCTCACCAAGAACATCCAGTTGGTGGATGGTGGGAAGTACGAACCACTATCACTCGATGCATTGCTGAGTATGCAGGGGAGACTGGATTTCTTTATTGTAAACAACCGAACGTAGCACACCGCTCGTTGCAAACAAGCCCTGGTTTCTGCACTATAATAGGCCTTCAGAATCACGATGTGGTGCAAAGCTGTGATGCGTATCACGTTACTGTGTGATTTGGAGAAAAAGCACTAGAGGTAATAAACACAAAATTCGCATAATAACAAACGTAAAATGTTGCGAACAAGGGTAAGGGTGAGAGGGGAATATACTCTGAAAGTTCATAAGGAAAAATAAAGTGAAGAGAGAGGCCTCCGGATAGAACTGTCATTGGAACTGTCACTGTAGAGGTAATAATTACGTACTATTAGGGACTATTGTGGATTCGCACAGCTGACTATGGGCTTGTACAGTATGTGTGCGTGTAAAATACAGCCAAGGAAGCACAAAAACGCACACGAACAGACAGACTTGTGTGAGGTTACCTAAAAGCATAGATGCTTACATTAAATCGCGGTGATCAAAAATTCCGTCTTTTTAAAGATCATGTTCAATACGCCATATACAAAAAACGAACAGTCAGAGGAGTCAAAGTCGACGAGTGAGACAGTCTCATCACTTGCACTTTAAGTGGGATTTCTAACGAGAAAAATCATTTTTCTGATTCGATATCACCCGCAAGTTTAGGCATATCGAAAGGCAATTGTAACAGAGGGAATAACTGAAAAAAATACACTGAAATGAGATCAAGATAACCAGTCAAGTATGACAGTGTTCAGATCAAAATCACCTCAATACCGTATCTATTTGTCACAGTGTGTCTTAACGACAACGGTCGACACAATAATTAGACAATTTAGAAATCGGTATTGGCGAGGAAATTTCTTTTCGATATATCTCATCAGACGTTTACATATATAAGTTGATCATAGTACAGGTATCTGATTGGCCGACTAAAGCTCAGTTAGTAACAATGACAGAGGCGAGCATACAGAGTAAACGAATATGACAAGGCTAGTGATAGTCGTGCTTAGAACTACATGTTGATGCTTATTGGTGTGTGGGATTTCAAACCCTTCCGTTGATTGAGCAAAATAAACAACCATTTGCAATATTCAACTAGAGGACAAGAATCTCAAAATCAAATCACAGGATAAGTTGGCAAAAGCGATGCAAAATATTCCCCACTGAACCCGGAACAGAGTCATCCCTGTCTGAATGAGGCATGATACGGTTTGGATTGTGAAAACTTCAGCAGATTCGGACCCACGCATGCATAGCATTAACGCTATTGTACAGCGCACACTCTATAAGGTCACACCGACAGCACTGATCTTTTCACCTGCTATCCCCCTCTCTCTCTTATTTCACGAGAGAGCTTCCTCCAATAAGAGTGAGTAGAAAACAGCATCCGCATAAGACACGTACTAATACCGTTACACGAACCACGAAGATTCATTGTAGGGTTGGGCACGATCTTAAAGGGGAAAAAGACAACAGGTAAAATCACAAACCATCAGAACTGTGTGTGAGAGAGAGTGACATCAAAGAACATGTTGCGACATGGTTTCGACAAGGAAACACTACGGACTAACGGTGACCAAAGGTGATCCAGATTTACAGATCACTAGTGAAAGTGAGAAAACCGATCGAGAGCGGATTTGTCGCTTTGAGACAAATTCGATGAACAGATAACATGTGAGAGGATTGTTTGTTTGGGAACTGAGAAGCCTAAAAGTCTGGGAGCTGGCAGGCACACGGATGAAGCTTTGATCATTTCTTAGGAAGTAATTCTTAATTCTGTTTTGATAAATACAAAAATGCAGCAATGGGGTGGGCTGTGGTCAT